AATAGCTCGACTCGGCTCGGGTTAGATATAGTTGGGGTGGTGATGAGAGTATATCTAGATAAATGTGTACCAACTCACCATATTATGCCATTTTAGGGTTTGGAAAAAACTCTAAAATTATAACTTTAAAATAACTTTATTTGACTTTGATACTATATTGATTTTTGATTTTTTCTCACACCCTTTATGTTGTTATACCTAAGGTATTTTTAAAATTTCTAATCTATTGACAAGAGAATTTTTATTCTACTACAATTCTAATTATATGACATTATTATTTTCATAAAATTTCAATTATATAATATCAACTAATTAAATAATAAAGTAAAATAATGAAATAATAAACTATCATAGTCAACAGAAAATAAATACAAATTAGTCTCAAAAAGAAAAAAAACCTCCTACTTATGAAAGTTGATTATAATTCTTCTTTATTGGAAGATTTTCTAGAAAAAAATACTAATCTATATAAGAATTAAATTTTTACAGGAAGTAGGATTCCTACAATATATTATAAATTCTTTTCACAAAAGCCAAAGCCAACTAACTGACTTATGTGTTTAAAAGATATGTTTATCATTTCTTAAAAAATTTTCATTCTCTCACCCTTCACATTAGGCTACCTCAAAATTCAGCTATTATGTCTAATTTTTTGTAGTAATTATTGTGTCTAAATGATGTGGCATGATCTGATTGGTGAGAAATAATAAATCAGAAGCTGCTAAAATGAACTCATGCACATAATACCTAGTGCTTCCTGCAGGAGAAGTGTGAGTTTGCTGTTTCTGTAAGGAATGTGAGAATTCTTCTGTGACAAAGCTGTGATTACATCTCCTAGACAAGAAAGTGACTTGTTGATATATTGTGCCTCCTTGAGACGGTCGCCTGTAACTTTTGATTTATCAACTCTTTCACTTCCTGCAAGGTCTACCAAGTGCAGGCAGCTGCGCTGAATGCCGCCGGATGCATCTTTGCCATGCACATGAACAGTCAGGATGCTGCAGATTATGATTAACCATCCTAGCACTATTAGTTTATATTTCATTTTATCAATTAGTTTGTTTTAATACAGCCAAGAAAGTGGGAAAATCAAGAGTGTAATGTAAGAAAGTAATAATTGTACGGAAGCTCCTGAAGATGAACCTGTGAGAACGACTACTGCGACTGTTGATTGCAGTGGAACTGACAACACGATTTACCTCACCAAGCTTCATCAGGTTGAGAACATCGACTGTAGAGTTGACAGAATGCATTGTAGCATCTGGGAGATTCATGCCACTCTCACTAGTACAACTCCGGATCTCCAACTTGTGCATGGGTTAAGAAAACGAAATATTTGGATATAGAAAAAAACCAGAGGTAAAAATCTTTTTCCAACAAAATACGTCTATATGATTATAAAAAGAACCATGCGTAAGGATATCTAGTGGTTGATGAATCCTCTGCAAGAAGGTCTCGTACTTGCTCGTTATATATTTCCACCATTTGAACATGAATTATGTACTTTATAATGTCCTCCCTTTCTTTGGATATTAGGAATAGATCTTCAAGAGCTTGATAATTAATCCCCGTATGATTAGTGGATCCATCTGATGGACCACTCTGCAATGAAAAGGATCACATATATCAGGTAGGAAAATATTAACGGTATTTTCAACTTATCACCCTCGAGCTATATGGTGTAGGTTGTGCTACCAAGACTAATCAATTCTTCAAATAAACATATCACATCAATTAAAAAGAATTAAAAGTTGTATAGAACTTGATATGTTGAAATAGATGTTCACGGTTCTTACCATGGTATATGTTTTCCCCGATCCTGTTTGACCATAGGCAAATATACATACATTATACCCATCCATCACTGACCTAATTAAAGGCTGAATATCCAGAAATACCTCCTCTGAAAAAAAAAAAAGGAAAGCACAACGAGAATAAGGCAAAAAGAAAAGACAATTAGATTTACATCCAAATCATAGCCTTCTACATCTAGATAACACATTCTTCACCTTGAGTTGAAGTAGGACCAAACACACGATTAAACTGAAAAACTTTCCTTCCATCCTTTTGAGGTTTTGACGGATCAAAAATTACTATAGAACCATCCTCTCCAATAAAATCTACCACATTTTTTCGTTCAGCAGTGAAGGTGGGCCTAACTCTGCAGTAAACTCTGATACTTCCTGAAGGGGATTTTTACGACGTGATTATCTAATGGCAATAATCTGATGGAACACTGAGATTTAGACATAAACTTTGTAAATGCTTTTACCTTTCAAATCCTGGACCATGTTGTATAATTTCCTATTCTCTTTTAGTACTTTGTGATACCCAAGAGCAGCAGTAGACATCTCCTGCACCTGGTTTCCTGGAAAAAAGCAAAATATATCATCCAAGAAAACTACTTCCCCCTGAATATTGAAGAACCTACAATGCTCATGCAAAAACAGGTTGTCAACATTAAAAAGTAACTTGTCATAATTCATCTAAGAAGAGTGTGGTGGAAGAACTTCAGGAGGTCATGCTTTCAGTTATAAACTGGTAGAAAGACAGACTTGAAATAGTACTAAGATAGGTACCAAAAGAGAGAATATGAGTAAAACATGAAACTGTCTTATATATTCTTCGCCATTACTAATGCATAGTTCAAAATTTATGAGAAGTAAAAGACAAATTCCTAGGAGAAATTTCAGTGCCAAAACAAAACAAAACGCATCCTGGAACAAAAAGAATGGATTCTTTAATAAGGGAATGAAGAATGACTTAGTTTCGCTACTTGGGCTTGTTGACTGAGACAAGTTTTTTTTTGGCTAAAAAAGAGTTGCACCAATTATAGGCTCTTTTGGACTGAAAATTACCTATTTCTCCCCAAAATCTTTGCAACTGGCACTGCAAGTCTTGGAATTCTCTCTTTGTTGTTGATAATAGCTCCTTGAGATCCTGAAAAAAGTAAATGATGGAAATTGAAATTTATATGAAAATCCCATGATAGACAAATAAGTAGTTAAATTTGAGATTAATATCATAACAGAAGAATAACATATCCATAAGAGCATAAGTTCAGTGAAGGCAATTGGAAAATTAATAGATGCTAATTGAATTCATATTCTTCAGTTACATGTGCCAGCATATAAGAAAAGAAAGTCATCTTGAAAAAATCTTGTTTGATAGAGATTGCTGTGTATGTCATGATAAAGAGATTACTCTTGCAACATCCAAAATTATAAATAGGTGTCGCAACAAGTAGATCCTTACATGCAGAAGCACAACAAATACTTACCAGAAGTTCTCTTTCTTGTACTTGCAACAATCGCTTGTGGTTGCATGCACCCTTCATCAAGCTAGCTTTCTGGCACTGTAAAACAATGAATCTTTTCATCATAAGTTCATGAGAAAAACACTTTTCACACCATTATATTATTGCAAACAATTGATACCGAGCATGAAGTTCCATACGAATATTTTCTTGAACTTTACAAGATAAAAACACATGGTTTACTTATTTATTTATTTATTTTTTCTTTTGAGGGGAGGCAAAACAAATGTATCCTGGTCTGATCTTTCAAGATGTAGAAACTGCATTAGTAATTCTGATTTCCAATTAGAGCATTGTATGCATAAAAAAAAGACCGTAGAGGGATTTGGAAAGAAAAATAAACCTGAGAATTTCCACGAATAGTTATTTCCTCTAGAGGTGTAGGTGTTGAATAGGCAGATGAGATACTTCTTTCATCCGGAAAATCTTCAATTTTTGATTTAAGCTGTATCAGACATCAAACTCATTTCTTATGTCAAAAGCTTGAAAAGTATTGGCAAGATAAAGCTTCCAACTACTATATTCTAAAATCCCAAAATTTATATTCAGCTACTATATTATTTTGCTTCATATTGTTATCTTTGTTCGGACATGCCACATAAGGTTGAGCATCCTGAACTTATATCTAAGTGTGTAAAGTGAATAGTTGCATATCCAACAAAGCCAATGTTCATTTATGGCTCTCCACGGAACAGTTAGTTATAGATATCATAATTTGAGAAATGCTTTATATGCCAATGCCTGAGATGCATGATAATCATTTCCACAACCGAAATTCAAATTGCAGGACTCTTTGTATGAAAGAAGTTCTGATAGATGACAATGAGTGCACTGAGATTGTCATTAGGAAGGAGTTCCCTTCTACTGTCTATAATACGTTGGGAAAGCTATGGAACGAGTCACCTGTTTCAGAAAATGTATGCAATGTTTAATTCTTGAATTAATCAAATCAGACTCACATCTGGGAAGTCAGATAGAAGGTTTTCGTTCATGAAATTTGAAATGATTTTCTTGATTAACTTCACTGAATCCTGTAGCAAAACAAACTAAATCAGAAAGAAAAAAATAAATCTAATCTAGCTGCTGGTCATGCAGTATATGTCAATAGAAGTAACATCTGTAGCAAGACATCTGAACATTACCGGGTTCCTTTTCCGAAGTGAAACCAAGAGATTATCATTAATGTTTTCCTTTGTGTCAATCATGTGATCAAGGAGAACCTTGACAATCGCATCTACAAAATCCAGTGCACAGTAAGAGATAAGTAAGCTACAGAATGAAGGTAAAAACGAACCTTATAGAAACCATAACACTTATAAGCTAGGAACCAAACAATTCCCACATATTATCAATATGATAAATAATTGCCTCTTCAACAGATTATAACATCAAATGTCTACATTGTTAAGCAAAACAATGGGTACATCTTTATTTAAACAGAAATAAGATTCCATTATAGGATGTCATCAAGTAATTAGAATGGAAAATGTAACTCGGTATATGAAATCGATGCACAGTAAGTAAATTTCATAAGTTTCTGAAGTTCACCTTCGACAGGTTGTTTATCACAGACAGCAGACATGTTTAAACGCCTACAGAGTCTGTACCCCTTAGCAAGTTGGTCCTACTGG